CTTCTGTCAGCACAAATAAGGTTCTTTCTATAACTGCACATGCACAAGTGGAGGACCCTTGCAATGAGGGTGCATCCCTCAGAGGATGCAGCTGATCCATGTGCGGAAAGAGTGCCACTAAGAGGTGGCAGTGATTGGAGACTGCTTTCTGCAGGAGAGAGAGGCACCAGTCTGCTGATGGGACTTGCCATATTGGGAAGATTGTTTGCAGGGGCTTAGATTGAGATGTTGTTGTTGGATCTGAGATTACCACGGGCTTGCCCAGTTCTCAGACTATTACCCTTATCATTCTTGTAGGCCCCAGCAACACTGTCAAGGGAGACTACAGTGTTCAGGGAGCTATGTGGAAGGGCACAGGATCCCAGGCAGACTAGGGTAGGAGTGGAAATATGCTGTAGGTTAGCAGTTGGCTGAGCAGCTGATTTGTAGGCAGGGTTTTGGCTTTTATGACCACAACGCTCTCTGAGGAATGAAGACAACTGCAGAGAGCTGGCATCTATTGGACAAAATGGGGCATCTTTGCCAACAAGCTTGCTCGTATCATGAGCAGGGCTTTAGATTAAGCTTGTTAGGGGATAGAGCCAAATGCCTAAAGAGAAGCTGAAGAACAAAGGACAGGAAGAAAGAGCCTTGGAGGGACAACGTAATGGGGGAGGCTCTCACTCTTCCCCTCAGAAAGCGTTACAACTGTGGATCCAGATCAAGTGGGAGGAGAAACATCTCAACCTCCCATTTCAGCACAGTAAACTGACAGGAGGAATCAGAAGTCCATGGACAGTTACGGAGCTATGGTCACACTGCAATGACCTTTTTGGAGTCACAGAGGTATAGTGAGATAGCTCACAGGGCTGGAGTGCTGGAAAGGATAGATACAAACTCTTTAGGAAGGACAGGCTGTGAGACAAGGAGGAGGGGCTCTGTGCTACCCAGAGAAGAGGCTTGAAAGCACAAAGCTATGCTATGGAAAGGGTAACAGGCCAGTCAAGAGCTCATGTAACAGAATCAAGGGGGAAGTCAACAAGGTGAAGTTGTGATAAGCATCACCTACAGACTGCACCATCAAGAACAGGAATTGGATAAGCCTTTCTTTAAACAACTGAAAGAAGCCTCGTGATTGCAGACCCAGGTTCTCATGGGTGTCTTTAACCACTTCATGTCTGCTGGAAGGGTTGCATGGTGGGGAGAAACAATACAGGAGTTCTCTGGAGTGCACTGAAAACAGTCTTGAGACACAGGTGATTCACAAGACTAACTATAGCGGTGATCTGCTGAGCCTGCTACTCACAACTAAAGGAAAACTATTTAGGCTATGAATATCAACGGCAGCCTTGGCTGTAGTAACTACGCGATGATGGGAATTTAAGAGAGAAGTGATGCAGGCAAGTAGCAGAATAATGACCTTTCAGCTCATGAGAGCAGATTTTGGCTTGTTCAGGGATCTGCATGGCAGGATCCCATCAGAGGCTGCCCTGAGGAGCAAGGGAGACCCAGACAGCTGGCTGACCTTCAAAACACAAGAATTCCATCCTGAACTTGATGCGGGAACTTGAGCAGGTATAACAGAAGGCCAGCTTGACTAAATGAGGAACTTCTGACTGAGCTCTAGTGCAAAAAGAAAAAAGAAAGAAGTGTACGTAAGGTGGAAACAGGGACGAGGAGGAATACACAGAGACTGCCTGAGTGTGCAGAGATGGAATTAGAAAAGCAAAAGCTCAGTTGTGATTCAAATTGGCGAAGGATCTGAAGGATTACAAGAAGGGCTTTTATAGGTACAGTGGCAACAAAAAGAAGAGTTAAGAAAAATGTGGGCCTGAGGCTGAAAGAGTTGAGAAACTAGTCACAAAGACTATGGAAAAGGCTGAAAGTACTCAATGCTTTCTTTACCTCAGTCTTTACCGGTAAGGTCTCCTCTCAGGCCTCTCAGGCCTAGTGGTAGAATCTGGGAGAGTCAAGTGTTACCCGGGGTAGAGGAAGAGTGAGCTGGGGGTGACTTAAAGAAGCTGGACATACACATGCAAGCAGTACTGCTGAGGGAGCTGGCCAATGCCTTTGCAAGGCTGCTTGCTATCATCTTTGAAAGGTCACAATGATCAGAGGAGATTCCTGATGACTGGAAAAAACATAAATGTCACAATAATCTTCAAGAAGGTTGGAAAGAGAATCCTAGGAACTGCAATCCAGTCAGCTTAACCTCAGTCCCCAGGAAAATTATGCAGCGAGTCCTGTGGAAGCCATTTTCTGGCATATGGAGAAGAACATCATGGTTAGGAACAGTCAGCATGGATTTATCAAAGCAAATCACGCCTGACAAACCTCACTGCCTTCTTTAATGCTTTGGTGGGCTCTGAGAACGAGGGGAAAATAGTTATGCTGATTACCTTGGCTGTAACAGAGCTTTTGACATCTATCTTTGTAGATAGGACACAGATATACTATTGGAGATAGATGGACTGGATGGATGGACTACAAAGCAGGTGCAAAACTGGCTGGACTGCCAGGCTTAATGAGTAGTGGTCAGCTGTTCAGACTCCAACTGAGAGAGGCTTATTAGTGGCATTCCTCTGGGCTGGATACTGGGGATGCAGAGCTGGAAGCGGAGTGCGATAGCAACACTGGCACAGACAGGGGCCTTGTCAGTAAAGGCCCAGTCCTACAGTGCCTGAGTGAGGTGAACATGGCAGATCTGGCTATGGTAACCAGGGTCAGACACAGCCCAGTGACTGCTGGGTAAGTCCACAGTGATGAGGCAGGTCTGAGGTCAGGCCAGGAAGTCAGTTCATGAGTCAGGGACCAGGCCCAGATCAGTGGGACCCATGACGAGGCACATCCATGGCTGCAACACAGCAGGAGCTGTAGCTCAGGTGGGGGCCAAATGGTAGAGGCTCAGCTTAAAGCTGCTCCCACGGGAAGGGGGTTGTCCCTTGCTGAGGCCTCCCTGCAGAGCTGTCTGGGAGTGCTCTCTCTAAGGTCACCAAAGGAGGCGGACAGCTGCACTGTCTCTAAATTGGCCCTGAGCCCAGGGAGGGGATGCTCTCAGGGCCCTTACACTGATACCATTTAACGGCTTTAATAAAAAACAGAATGACTGACCGTATGGAGTGCACTCTCAGGTTTGTGAATGACACCATCAACCACCAAGAGGAATGGCTGATAAGATGGAGGGCAGGGCTGCCGTTCAGAAGGACCTCAACAGGCTGGAGCGACAGGCTGACAGGAACCTGTCAGGGAGCAGCAGAGACAGGCTGCTCTGCAAGGGAAAGTGAGCCAGGAGCAAGGCAGGCAGGGACAAGATCCAGAACACAGTCAACATGTCAGGGTCAGGATCAGGTCTGGACAGAGTAATCAAGGCCAGTCTCAGTCCAGTGATCACCCAGAAAGTCTGCAGTGACAAGGCATGTCTGATATCAAGCCAGGAAGCCAAGCCAGCGAGTCCAGGTCAGGGTCAGGATCAAGGCAGTATAAGATCAGGTGTAGACATAGCTGCTGTACAACTGCAATGTAGCATGAGCAGGGGCCAGCAGTAAAGCCTCAGTTCAGAAGCAGCTCCTAAGGGAAAGGAGGGGCAGGCCCTCACTTCTAGCTTGCTTCACAACCACTCTTACCAGTGAAGGAGCTGACCTCAGACTCAGCCAACTAAACTACTAGAAAAGAGGAATGTGCTCAGGGCCCTGATAGCATCTCATGAAATGCAACAAAGGCAAGCGCAAAATCCTGCATCTGGGATAAAACAAGGCCCTGCAATGGTACATTAGCCTGCTAATGGATAACTAGAAAACAGATCTGTAGAAAAGGACATAAAACAAACACAAATAAGCAGTGCACTTTTGCAGTAATGCAGGCTTAACTACAAATTGGGTTGCATTAGAGCATAGCCAGTGGGTAAGCTGTAATGACTACTCTCCTTTAGCTGGCACTTGCGAGATTACACTTGAAGAACTGTGTCAAGTTTAGGGCTGTCCAGTAAAAGAAACATACTGACAGACTGGTGGAGTGAGTTCAGCAGAGGACAGCCAAGATGGTTAGAGAGCCAGAGCACAAGATATACAAGGAAAGGCTGAGAGAGATGGGTTTGCTCATTTTGAAGAAAAGAAGGCTAACTGACAGCTAATTGTTGTCTTCAACTACACCATGAGTAGAAATAGAGAAGATGGAGCCAGACTTCTTGGCTGTGCACAGCAAAAAGACAAAAAGCAATGAATAAAAGTTGCAGCAAGGGAAATTTCAGTTAGGTACATGCGGAAAAAAAAATACCATGAACATAATCGTGTTCCAGTATTGGTCATGCACCTCAACATCAGCATGGCTTTTGAGAATATCTTAGATCTTATTCTGAAAGCAAAAGTTGGAAACATGGTCTTTATGCAGCTTTAAGATAAACAAAGAACAGGTATTGATGGCTCACTGTCCACATGGAAAGTTGTGTCGGTTCTGCAGGGGTCACCATGCTTTGATTCTGTAAGCGTTGTCATGACCTGGATGATGGAATAGAGCGTGTGCTTATTCGATCTCCAAACAAAATGAGGCTGGAAGAGACTGTGCGTACACTGGAGGACAAGATTAAAATTCAAAATGATCTTGACAAATGTTAAGAATGGTTTGAAAAAAAAACCCAGGATGTTACTGAACAGAGATAAGTGTGAGGTATTACTTTTAGAAGGCATACTAACTTGCACAAACACAGGATGTGGCTCATCCAGCTTGTTTGTACTTCTACAGAACAGGATCCAGGGGCAACAGCAGATCACAGAAGAGTAAGAGTCAACAATGTCAGGTTGTAGCAACAAAAGCAAACACCACTGGCATTTTTTCTTTAATAGGTGTAGCCTGCAACACATGGGAAATAGTCTTTCCACTCTACACAGCGCTTTAAGGCCTCAACTGAAGTACCAAGCCCAATTTTAAGCACTACTTCATGAAAAGATGCAGAACAATTAATTCGAGATCATGACCTTAAACATAAACCCTATTAGAATAATGACGACAGGATAATATTGACTCACCTTCTCAGGGCAACTGAAAACATACAGAAACACGTCCTTTTCCCTGCTGTTCTTCACACTCCTTCTGTTACAGCCATAGATCCAAATGCTTTTAAGCCAAAATCAATAAAATATAATGAAGGGTAATCCTGAAAATAAGGTAAAATAACACTTAGAACTGGAGCTGGAGAAGGAACTTGTGTATCACAACTCCTTCATAGCTGGCCTTTTTTTTGCCATGGATGTGAGAGGAGAGAAGAACTATCCTGAATAATACATTATTTTCTTTTTATTGTAAGCTAATAAGCAACTAAACAAATCACTTTTGACAAATCCTGCACTTAGTTTCATTCATGAGACCTCACTGAAGTCACTTTTTTGTAGGAATATAATGAAGACTGTTTTGTTGGGAGTTTATTTTTTAAATTATTTCTAAAGTTATAGATATAGAAGCTAAAAATATATTTTAGGAAGACAATGTCAAATAATACTGATAGTACTGTAGAATCCTGATGATAGTATCAATGGCATTTTCGTAATTGTCAGGTATTTACAGATGATAAAATTAGACCTTCGAATACATATGCATTGTTGACATAAACTAGATACCAGTTTTAAACCTTCCATCAATCTCTACTCCTTGGTATACTATAAGTGTTAGATCAGTAAATTGTATTTTAATTGCATTTGTTTGGGAGAATGCTTGTAACGAGCTATGAGAGTGTGCTATAATTTTTGCCTCCCATTATTGGTCATACTGCAATATGTAGACAAAGGTCTGTGACCAGCATCCTTTCTCTCTTAAGTATTTATTTGCTTCCAGGTAGTTTAAGTATAAACACATTAAAAGAAAAATATAAGAACAATAATTTAGTTTTTATACATGAATCTCAGAAGAATGCTGCTGCTGTTTGTTGTTTCATTTTGAGAGAGCTGAATTCATTTTCTGAGAGACGCATGCTTTTAGCTCCATTTACAGTTTTGAGGTTGTAAGAAAAAGTATTTTTTGTGGGCTATTTTTAAACAGAAATATAGTTGTAAAAAATGTTTTGGACTATCAAAGCGTAGTATGGACTGATTTCCTTGTGAATTGGCCATACTGTGATGGACTTCAAAAAGATGAAAATAATTTAGGTTAGCTGTTAAAGTTAGCCAACAGCTTGGCATATTATAGACAAACAGAGGCTTAACAAAGAGCAGGGAATACTGGAGATGAGAGACTGACATGACTTTTCTTAAGGTCCATACAGTTGTCCTGAAAATAGATACTTACAGGTCCTCATGTTACCAAGTTCCCATCCTACAAGAGCCAACAATATAGACTGAAGCATTTACAGAACAAGGCGACACGAAAACAGTAACAATGAAATAAAAATCAGTTATGGAGAGGCCCAACAAAAAGGTCACCTCAGTATTAAAAACTACTGTAGTCATTTCAGTATTGAAAAGGCTCTTGTGGTTAAGAACATATAAAATAAAAAAGACAAGACTAAAATGGCTGAATTGATGAAGTAGCTCAAACCGATGGCTTTAAAGTACGATTGGTGGACTAACCACAGAATAAACCCTTTCAGAGCCAAGAACATAAGAGCTACGCATTATCATAACAAACTGTGCTGTCTATTTTCTGTAATATTGTTGAATCTTGTTATTTGCATGCATGCACCTTTTATTCTGGTTCCACCATAATACCGTATGCTAATACCATACCCATTTAGCAGAAAATGACAATTGGAATACATATTTTCCTTTAAAATTAAGAGAGTTATATTTAAGTGGTTCTGGTCATTATTTAGCTACTTCCAGGACTATTCCTTCTTTTTACTCTAAAAGTTTACATTTAAGGAGCTTTTAGTAGTACTGTTTACAACTGTGAGAACAAACATAATGTCTTTTATTTTTACTACACAGAGTATCAAAAATAGAGAGAAATTTAATTTTGAATAATATCAATTTCATATAGATGTTATTAGCTACAAGTTTTTTAAAATCACAGCTGAATTATGTGGATAACCTTTTGCAATAAAAATCAAAATAACTTAGCGAACACATATTGGCTTCATATGCTTTACTGTGACTGAAATGTTTATAATCTGACTGGAAAGCCTGTTACAAAGTTTTTGAAATTGAACAGGGTATAAGAAAACTTGCCTCTCATTGGAAGCACATATAAGATATTTTTATTTCATGCCTTTTCTGTTTCACGACTAAAGAAAAGGCATTATAGAGAAAGCAAGTAGAAATTGTTTAAACTTATAGTAGCAAGGAAATTCTGAGTTCAGGTTTTCACTTCTGCTTGAATGCACCCTGTCACGGGGAAGTTTAAAACCAGTGAATGGAACTATTTGGTGCAATGCATATACACAGCAGGGTAAGTTTAGATTCTGTGATAGCCTTTCAGTTTGTATTTCCTTGCTTTTTATTTTAAACTTACAAGAAATCCTAGTTTTCAAGAGAAAGGGGCTAATAGCACTTCCTGAGCCTGGCACAGGAACAAATCACATTGCTCTTCTGTAGTATTACTACCATAATCTATTTTATAACTCAAATAAAAATTGAAGTAAAACTTTAAACATCTGGTAGTTTTATTTTGTTCCCCATCCACTTTGTTTGTTGCAAGCATGGGAACACGGATATACGCGCTTTTCTTCTTCTTTGGAGTTATACTTGAGGCCATCTTCTGGCATTTGTGGTGTACAGGCTGAGAAAACTTAAAAAGTATCATGAAAGAGGCCTCCCATCTTCTATCAGAAATGACGGAAAGGTATGCTCCAGGAGCAAAGGCATTGCTTTGTCTCAGTTCAATAGAGAGTAACTGTTGCGAAAGGTACAGAAACGGATGACATCATATCTGGGCATCAGGCTTGTCTCTGTGAAGGACAGAGGAACGTGTAGAACAAAGCATCCTCCATATATACTAACTCCTGCCACATCCAGTCCTGTGTCAATGACTGATCTTGCAAGCTGAACAGAAAATAGTTATAATCTATGCAAATACCGGGATTTGATACTGCAGAACCCCCTTGCTGGACTGGGACCCAATTAGCTACTTGCCGAATAGAAGCGTCACTGACAAAGTCACACTGTCTTTGTATTGAGTATGTCAATACTAAGGAAAGGAGAGAAATAGTGTTTTTGAAAGAAAATAAATTAATCATTTTCTGCAGCATTTCTAGTATACATACTCTTATTTTAATTTTCAATCTGCATGGAAGAAAATAAAGATCAGAACTGTGATTAGTACAGGCTTGAGATTAGTATTACAGACCTGTTGTTCTTTCAGAATGCTAGTGCTCCAATAATGCTCACATGAGTTGATGACTGGCTCACCTCAATGAAAGTTTGCTTATCAAAAACAAACAGTGTTGATTAGGGAAGACAGCTATTCTAAAGTGCTTCAGCTTACAAAAATAAGAAAACATGATTTTGTAAAAATTTGTAAAACAAAATACAGTTTTTAAGAATTAAAGGAAGTCTCTAATATTAAAGACAACAATGTGATTCCTTCCTTTATAAGAATTTTTCCCTATATTATGTACTGTACATTATATTATTTCAGCAGACAAAATGACAGTCAGCCACTTCTGTTTCAGTCCAAGTCCTAATGTGTGGAAATCACATAATGAAAGACTTCACAAATACAAGTTCTAAACTCAGGACTGCAGCTTCAAGAGAAATTCAATGTGGAGGAATGTATCAGTAGTTGTGTATATAATAGCTGTGAACAAGAATTACCCCCAAATTTGGGTGCAAGTGTAAATTACGGAATCTTCCATGAAAAGTGCAACATACAGAATGGATAGTAAAACAGATATCAAGCTGTATTTTGTTTTCCCTGTTTCCTAGGGAGAGGAAGCTTATGCGATTGTGCTCTTTGTCCATCTGTTCCACCACAATGACAAACAGTAGCCCACTGACAAACTTTAGAAAATTTAACAGTGGATCTCAATGTTACAAACTACTTCTGGGATTTGTTAAAGCTGATGAGTGACTACAGATGCAAATTAACATACCTACCAGCTGAAAAGTAATTGTAACTTAGCTCCTTATCCATTTATCAGGCAGCAGGCATCTGATGAAGTAGAATAAGAAAATTAGTCAACCAATCAGCACATATGAAGCTTCCAACTAGCAATACTCTCTGTAGTCACATGCCTAGCCAAATAGATATGGAAATGGGAATAAATAAAGGGGAAAGTTATTGGGTATTAGCTGTTAAAGAGTGTTGCATTTTTTAGTGAATGTTATAGAGTTTAGTTTAAGGTTTCAATTTTGAAAAAGAGGCATATATTCTTGAACTTTCAAAAATATTTAAAGGCATAATTAAATAACTTAAGCTTACTGAAACTTGAAGTCTTCCAAGTTCTAAGTTACCAGACAGGATCATTAAGAACATGAAATAGTCCTTTTTCAGATCAAGATGAAGATTTGTGGGCAGTCTAATAAACATCTGCATAATTTGTTGGTTTGTAGACTAGACTCAACATTCCTATATACTCAGAAGTTTTACTTTTTGGATTGGCTTTTTTTGTTTTCTTATGGGAGATGGGACAAAGTAAAACAAGTAATGGAGTCTTTCACTGACAATTCCAAGTTAAGGATTTTGCCTATGTATTTCAGAAAATATTGCACAAAGCTTCTGGAAGAGGACTTACTTCAGCCAAGGACAGAGACAGCAAGAGCAGTTCAAGGCATGCTGTTCATCAGCTCATCATCATCCACTAGCTGGAAGTTACTGCCCCCAGAACTCACTAGGTGAAATACATTTTTCAAGAGCTTCTCATCAACTACAGTCAAAAGTCTGCCTGGTTACCTCACATCTTTGGGGATTAAAAATAAGGTGGGTGACTTCGTACCGAGCACGTAAGAAGCGCTTATGTATTCAGTTTTGCAAGCTCTGCTCTGGGGTTATTGGGAAAGGAACCTTCAACCCCTCCAGCACTACTAAAAGAATATCTTTATCCTGAGTCATAAAAAACTGCCAAGGTAAGGTTACAAACTACAAAGGAATTTCCTTTCAGGAGAACTTTTTGCGTTATCTCCCATAACAAATCATTTGGGTTTTCTCCCCACCTTTTGCAGCTTTCAGAAACGTAGCTGGTGATTCCCAGCTATCCACTGCCTTAGTCATCTCTATACATCTGGGATATGCATATTGTCAACTACCTACAGAGCTCGCAAACCCCAAGTAAACGTGACATGATGCATTTGCAAATACGTAGAGCTAACGCACCTAATGGTAGAGAGCCGAGGTCTTGATCGAGCTTAGAGCAGCTGCTCTAGTCCTGGAGGGTGTAGTGACCAAGCCCTGCTGATTCACTGTGTTTATCCAGTTTTTTATCTAATGCTTGCTACTAGGAGGACTAGCACTCTAGTCAAATCTTCCAATTTTGGGTTAAAGAAGAGACACGATGAACGGTATTCTGAGACCTGGATTTGTTGTAAAACTGAACCTTGCAGAGATAGTCACTATGAAGCCAAGACAGAAGGTTTTTTTGAATGAGAAGGGGGCATTAAGTCCAGTGCATACAGAGCAAATATATATAACTTTATTCCAACAATTATTTGAATAATTTAAGCCCCCTCCAAACATATCAAAGGCATTTCCATTTCTCTGCTGTAATACAGGAGAGGCTTGAAATGGACCTCATTGCCATGAGGCCTCGCTGAAACTAAAGGGCTCAGTAACACTGCTCTTGACTGGCCATCTGCACAGGTAACAACACTGAGAACTAGAAGTCTGGATATCAGTAAGAACTTTGGAAACTCCAAACGCTCAGCACCTTGAACGAGCAGCCCACCAGCCCCAGGGCAGGCGCAGCGCAGGCGTTTTCCCCCTTGCGTCCCCGCAAACCCACGAGGGCGCGCAGCTCGCGGTCCTGCCGCGAGCCCTAAAAACCCTCGCCGAAGCCTGACCACCCGACAAGGCTCCCCTCAGCTTGTAAAGACGCAACTTGCTGTAGAGATAAATAAATAAACCACAAGAGGATCCTAGCCGGACACTTTTTAATCCCACGCCAGCCTGGGACCAGCGCGGGGGAAGGCGCGCTGCAGACCGCGGCGGCGCAGGGACGAGGCCTC